CAAGTTAAATGATAATACAGATTAGGAAAATCCACAGATATAAATCAACAACACTTCTAAATACAGTAAAAAAATGCATTTAGCATTTATTAAGGAATATTCCACTGCGTGTCCTAATTCCCCACCCATAAAACCCGATAACCACCGTTTTCGTAGGAAAACATGCAAGTTGTAGGGAGTAATGAGTAAGGCTACAAAAGCTACTGTTGCCGTCCAACTTACAGTTCTGGAGTTAGATTAGCCTACATAAGCTTCTGTTGTCATTTAAAATTAAAGCTGAGGCCTGCCGCTGAGTCACAAGCCAATCATGCCGCCAGCCAAGCCAGGACAGAAGCTGATTGGCCCGATGGATATAGTTTTACATTCGTTTCTTGCCCTAAGTATGTTGTACTACTTACACTCAAAGACTTCTGCTTTTGCCCTCTTCCTGGGGCAACTCACACGAGGTCTAGTTAGGCTGTGACATCTCTGTCTTGACTACCGTTACAACAATACGTTCTATCTACGCTTGATCTGATTGTTCGACTGCCAATTTCGATGGAGTCCACCATATGCTCCACGGCAGTTTGGTGCAGGGGAGGTGATTGGCGTCAGGAGTAGATGTAGTTGCTTCACCTCGTCTTTCACACCCTTCATCTTCACCTGCTGAAGTCGGTGACCTGGAAGAGTCGAGATGATCGAGACGGGGCAAGGGGCAGGGCGCAGGGAAACAACGAGCCGAGGGCAGTCGGCGAAAGCGAAGGCAGCGGACGAGGTCAAGGGGCACAGGGGCATCGGCGGATGACTAAGCGGGAACAGGGACTCCTGTTTCGGCCTAGTCAGTAGCAATTAAAAATCCGAATATGGCGTTGACGTTCATAAAATTTTGCATTGAATGCGGATCTTCGACTTCATAAGCAGCTCGATAAAGCCTTAAGAAACGTCATAATTTCGAACTTTTTATAGATAAGTTTTATTAATTTTTTGAAGAAGTACTTCGACCCCCGGTGAGTGCAAGAGGTGTTTTTGCGCGTTTTTTTAATGAAATTGATTTGGATAAGTAAGGGTATCAAAAATAAATAGGAAAACACGTATTACTTACCTAATATTAGTGCCAACAGTCGGGAAGACAGTCATTCGAAAGATGATATCCTGGTGTGACAGAAATAGCTTAGGAGTATGCTGTATGATCATTTATACGAAAACCTTACTTAGATTATCGTTTCATACCAACAACACATTTCAGAATTTCTGTTAATATTTCGTGAGGATGCTCAGCTAGTGGCTGGTGGTCACTGTGCAACGGCCACTGTTTAATTTGGCGTAACATTCAGCTATGAGAAGTCTGCTTCTTTTTGATTGAGTGACCATCGTATGTTTGTGGTGGGTGTAGTCGAAGTATGCGCCTTGACGGCCGATAAAGTCACGTCTATTTTTACTTCTGTCCTGATCTCGCCCATCAGCATGGTTTTCATAGTTTGTTCTGGAGGGGGATAGTCACAACTTCAAACTTTCTTACTTGTACTTTATACGACTGTGGTCATGCCTGATCTAGCCGACTTCGATCATGTCACGTACGGTACGTCGCCATGCGTGACGATTGGCGGCGGCGGATATGAAAACTCCACGCATTCTCTTCTCCAGCGAAGCAGACCGCAAAATCGAAAGTCCAATAAACCACTTCCATGCCTTGACAAATAGTATCGAGCCAAGTCTTGAGTTGCCCTCCTCTTCGACATCGCCTCCAAGACCGAGAGTAGCGTAGCATGGCCCATGAGGCGAACGACAGAGAACCTGGCTTGAGATATTCTCACGATATTGCCACAACAAATACAGAATGTCTCATTTGAGATGAAGTCTGTATACTACTTCACCCGAAGGATGATCCCCAGGCAGCGATCGTCATGCAAATGTCTACCCATGGTTGTATTAAATAATTCCAAACTAGCTATCTGGTCGATAGTACCGCCTAGAAGTGATGCCTCAAAGCTTGCTTAGTGCTTCTGTATCGCTCTGAAGTCGCCGGCGGCTGCGGTGGACCATGTTTACTTCGCGGGGTTAATGCGCACCGACATAGGCCAGATTAAATTCAATTCAGACAGTTACTGTATCGGTCTACTTCTTGTTTGTTTTTTCATTTTCCGATATTATCAATATGTCATGCCTCCTCCCCTTTCATGCCATTAGGTCTCAGGGCAACCGGCAACTGGAACAGTTCTTCCGTTCTGACTTTAGTCCGGGCCAACCGGCTTGCCGGCAGGCCAAGTTGAACGCATTCCGTCTGATGAGTCAACACAAATTTCAGCAGGCAGCGGCTATATTCCTGGTCGGTGGTTGGCTCGATGATGCCATCCGTGTCTGCGTGGACTCCATGAATGACCTCCAGTTGGCTGTCGTG